TGTAACACTGGATACAGGTCGGGAGCAGCTGTAATACTGAATACAGGTCGGGAGCAGCTGTAATACTGAATACAGGTCGGGAGCAGCTGTAATACTGAATACAGGTCGGAAGCAGCTGTAATACTGAATACAGGTCGGAGCAGCTGTAATACTGAATACAGGTCGGAAGCAGCAGCAATGTATTACTAGCTGATACTATAGCTAGTCTGTCCGTAGCGGGCTCAAGATAAGACGAGTGTCTTTCTCCTTTATTACTGCTCATCGTTTCACTACAAAAAGTTAAAAGGTTTGCGACGAGCATAAACTACCTTATCACGTGATTTATTAAAGGAGTTGCTGTCTATAGTGTGTGTTCATAAATTAAGTATTTTTATTATTTTTCTTTATGTAAGATCATCTGAGTATCGTGGAAACAGATTTTTGTGTAAGTTTACTGCTACTGAAGAGCTTAATAGTAAGTAGGTATAGGATCTCTGTGTTCCATAATATTAAATTTATTCGTGTTTAATTCTTGAAATAAATTCTACTTCTCCAAATTTATTGACGTCAACGACGTTATTATATATATATTGTTTAATAAGAAAAAAAATATTAGTGGGTGTTAAGTAACAAATATTTTACTGAGTATTTCTTAACAATAGTTTGCTGTTCACACACTTAGCTAGGAATAATTGTTTTGTTTCATACTCCGATAAAAGACATAATACTTACGAACAATTTACGTTTCAACAGTTCGTTTCGATTAATCCATCGTTTTTTGAAAAACACATATTATCACTTGCTCTTTCCTCTTCACAAAGTAATAGCCTGCTTAATAACGTGTTCACAATTTTCTATATTCAACAGAATTTCTTGAAAGACAAAATTTTCAGGACCATAATATTCCCATTTCAAAGAAATCCAATCACACAGTGCTTCATTATAATTAATCAACTTTTTGAGGGGATACTAACTTGAATTAAATACCAACCTACGCTGAGAAACACTCAATTATACACACATTTATCAAGAGAAATAATTTTGGAATAATTCATTACCGGTCACATTTATCTAATCTACTTCGAAGCGAAAGTTTTCTTTCCAATGCTTGATACCTCTATATTTATTAACCTATCCTGGTTATTTCTGACTACGTTGTAGTTCACCATACGATACAATCATTCGTTTTTTTCCAAGTTTTAATTACAGTATAATAATGGTTCTATACGAAATGGTAATCACCTAAGCGTAGTTAATTACCAATTACGAAGGATAAAATATCAAAAATAGTGCCTATTTCAAAGCAGGTAATTACTGTATATCAGCAGATATATATTAAAAGTGATTTTTTTTGTTTCTAGCATAGAACGATTCTACGTCATGTAGACTATAATCACTAAAGAGACAGACATTTACCGATGTAATTTATAATACTTGGTAGGATAAAATAATAGAGCTGTAGAGCCATATTACAGTAGTGCCAGAGATTTTATAGAACAAAATGTAAGATTTAAGGAAAATGAAGAAAAACATTTATCCCTACAAAGTGACTAAACGTACGGGCAATTAATGTTATAGCTATCTTCGAAGGCGAAAGTATTCTGAGTCAAAGAGTACTCCTTAGTTGTCAAGGAAACAGATATGATACAACAATCATCTTCTCCCATGCCTTCTTTTACTGACAACGACTGGAGCTGTTTCAGCTCAGACTGAGATCAATACGAACTGGGTCTCGTGACGTCACGTGGCTAGAAGGCATGGAGACTGAAAGTGAACATAAATGAGAAAGACGTTTCTGTATGGTTAGCTATTATCGTTGCACGTCACTCTCCAACAAGTACATTTTCATGTAATTCTCTAACATGTAAAGATGCACGCCATTTTTCAACACGTGAGATTAAACATCATGAAAAATGTTGAAGAACCATGACATACTCCAGAGTATAAAGAAAAATGTCATTTTCTGGCTTCTAAAATTGTAAACTATTTTCCAACGGTTAAATTACTTTTCCTTTTTGTCAAGTATAAAAAGAATCTCCAACTTTTAAGATTGTATAACATTTTGAAATAATTAAAGCTAGCCTTTAACATATAAATTTATGTATCATTTTTGAATTTGTTTTCTTGTAGGCTGACTTCTCTAATGGAACTGCGAGCATTATGCTGAAGCTGCTTATTGTCCGACATATACAGTTACATCTCATTTACAACACGCGCACGAGAAATTAAATATTCTTAATTAAATAAAACGTGATTTCATAACATTGAAATTGCATGTAATTATTGCATCCTGGTCTTCAATTCTTAATGTTAAATCTTACTCTCCAACACATGTAAAGTGTTTCTTATTTTCCAATGTTTGGAAATGCATACTGTTTTTATCATGTTAATATTAATTCCAATGCAGGTTTTATAACCTGTAAACGTGTAGATCATGTAAGTGTGAATGACATTTGTCACAATCATAAATTACATGTCATTTTCTACCATGTGAACTTAATATTCCTTCATGTAACTCTTAAAACATTCAACACAGTCTTAACTCACATGTCATACTCTACCATCTAAGCCTGATATTCCTTCATAACTCTTAATTCCATTTTTATAATCTAGCTTCCTATGCCAAGCCAATATGCAAGCTTATGTAAAATTACATCAAATCATTCATGTCCTATCATGTAATAATGTATGTTATATGACTATTTTAACTTCTGCACAAAGTTTCTCAAGGTATGTGTCATTTTATCCTCCTTCTTGCAAACATGCACTAAACTTCCTACCATAAGGATAATGAAAATAAGTAAGTAGTTTGAGTCGTCTGAACATGCTTGTCCACAACATAACGGGCTATTTAAAATACGCAAACGCGTAAAGATGTCTTGCATTGAGGCTAAGTCAAAACATAATTACAGTGATTTTGTAGAGCGGTATTTTATTGTGTTATTATTGAACTTGGAGAGATTTAAAATCAGTTAAATTTGATAAAATGAAAGAGAATTGTGTGTTTTCGTTGTCTATTTACAAAAATTCTTGAAAATCAAGATGTTGATGTTTCGGGGTTTTATTATTAGTTAAATACAATATTTAGAAATTGGCAAAAGAGCTGGTTAACAACTTCAAGAGACTGAGTGGATTGTCTTCTATAACTTTTTAACTTTTTTAATATTTCCACGCAACCATGGAAACAGAATACGCAATATTTTGAAAAGATCAAACATGATCATGAATTGATCTGGTAAATTCTTAGTTCAATTTGAAGATGAATTTTGTGTTGCACATGTGTATATAGTAATATACAGCTAGTCTATCCGTAAATTATAGTCTCAGCTAGTAAGACATTGCTACTTACATTTAGACTAGCTATAGTCTCAGCTATTAATACATTGCTATTTACGGATAGACTAGCTATAGTCTCAGCTATTAATACATTGCTACTTACGGATAGACTAGCTATAGTCTCAGCTAGTAAGACATTGCTACTTACATTTAGACTAGCTATAGTCTCAGCTAGTAATACATTGCTATTTACGGATAGACTAGCTATAGTCTCAGCTAGTAAGACATTGCTACTTATATTTAGACTAGTTATAGTCTCAGCTAGTAAGACATTGCTATTTACGGATAGACTAGCTATAGTCTCAGCTAGTAATACATCGCTACTTACATTTAGACTAGCTATAGTCTCGGCTAGTAAGACATTGCTATTTAGGGATAGACTAGCTATAGTCTCAGCTATCAATACATTGCTATTTACGGATAGACTAGCTATAGTCTCAGCTAGTAAGACATTACTATTTACGGATAGACTAGCTTTAGTCTCAGCTAGTAAGACATTGCTACTAACCCTGTTTGTGCTGAGTTTGACCTTTTATTTACCCTGTCTGTGCTGAGTTTGACCATTTATTTACCCTGTCTGTGCTGAGTTTGACCATTTATTTACCCTGTCTGTGCTGAGTTTGACCTTTTATTTGTTCCATCTATGCTGAAAGGTGATTCGACTTTTGCTATGTCTATGCTGAAATGTAACACTTTTGCTCTGTTCATGCCTATGTATAATGCTTTAAATTACTATGTTCCTGATATACCCTACTATGCTTCTTCTAATATTTGCCATTCATTATGGTTATGCCTCAGTTTTGCCGACACATCATGCTTTGAATGCAGAATGTTTACGAGTAATGACATATCTGGGCCAAATTTCTACTCTGTAGAATGTTGAATGATGTTAATTCGCTAGATTAGTCGGCGAAAGAGAAGATTATTACATTTAAAATATTTTTGTTTCAGTAAAGTGCTTACATAAGTCATGTCTTAGTAATTTTAATTATGGTGTCGTTATTCAATTGATAAAGTAAAATTTTAGATCAAATGGGATACTTTGTACCAGTTTTATTTTTGAAGGGAGAAAGTAATATCTCAAACTCCAATTTTTGTTCGTTTAATTCAGTATAGTATCGCCGTCTAGCGGCTACTTACTTGTGAGTGGGACGACGGACGTTCACGTCTCCCAAAGCACCAGTTAGCTGGGATTATGTGCCTAGCTTCCCTTCCGCCATGAAGCTGACAAGAAAAGGTGGCGTCGACTGCGTCGACATGTCTTCAGAACCTTGCTAGTTAATTCTGCTTTGCGGAGGAGGTGTCACATTCTTATTTGTGACAGAGTTCCTGATTTGAAAGGAAACAACATGTCCATCAGGAAGGTGTTCGGGTAGGTACTCCATTTGATCCGAATACACATTGCCTAGCTAAAATTACAACTAATCAATCGACCTGAGGTAAAGTAGTTGCTGCAGAGCTCCACAAAGCAATGGTTACTGGGGCCATGTAGTTATAGCGCTACTAATAAAAATTAAACGATTTTGAATAAAATGCTGCTTGGAAAGTCAGAATTAAATAGTTGTTCCCAGTAAGAGATTACTTTTATACGCTGTTATTAGCCTTTAGAGTAGAGTGGGCAAGTAGGAGGAGTTGTAGGGAATGTGGCAAACTAGAAACAATAGGCTAAACATTCGACGTTCACGTTGGAAAACATTTTGTTTTCGTTTTCATAAGGTTTTAACAAAATATGTTTGAAAAACATTTACTTTGTGCGATCTTTTATCCTTGAACGCCGTAGAAGCTGTAAAGATTTTAATCTTTTAGAAACACCTATGGATACTATTTAAATATATTTATTTACAGATCGTATGAATTAAATAAAATCTTTAATTTAGAGATAAAAGTTCAAAATTAAGAGTCAACAACAGCCCAAAAGTCGATTTTTTACACTGATGGTAATGATTTGAAGCAAAGGACATTTATTGTGATAGTAAAACTGCTTACGAACTATATATGATGAAAACACTACTCATAAACCAGTTGTCGTGGTAATACTACTGAAAAAACAACAGATGTCGTGACAGTACTACTAAAAAAAACATGTGTGCTAATAACGCTGCTTATAAACTGCACATGACAAAAGCACTGCATATAAACCACATGTGATAATAACACTATTTATAAACCACATGTGATGAAATCTGATTAACCAAATGTTATGATAACATTGCTTATAAATCGCATGGGTGAAAACACAGATGATAAACCTGATGTGATAACAACTTTGCTGAGAAATCAGGTGACAATGACGCTTGATACACCAGATGTAATGATAACACTGCTGTAAACTAGTTGTTTTTATAACACGGTTATTATTATAAAACTGCTGATAAAGCAGATGTGGTGACAACACTGCTATAAACTAGTTGTTTTTATAACACAGTTATTATTATAAAACTGCTGATAAACCAGATGTGGTGACAACACTGCTGTAAACTAGTTGTTATTATAACACAGTTATTATTATAAAACTGCTGATAAACCAGATGTGGTGACGACACTGCTGTAAACTAGTTGTTATTATAACACAGTTATTATTATAAAACTGCTGATAAACCAGATGTGGTGACAACACCGCTGTGAACTAGTTGTTATTATAACACAGTTATTATTATAAAACTGCTGATAAACCAGATGTGGTGACAACACTGCTGTGAACTAGTTGTTATTATAACACAGTTATTATTATAAAACTGCTGATAACCCAGATGTGGTGACAACACTGTTCATAAGCCCAATCTGATAATAATACTGCTTATAAATCATATCCAGTATTAAAATAGTTATGAAGTAAATATAATTGTACTATCTGATTTCTTTCATAACCAATTTTATTGTTGATTAACTTGACGTGGTGAGACATTTAGAAGATTAAGTGTGTTTTATTGTTTATTGTAATACTGTTTATAAACCAGTTATGATGATAAAATTTCTGATAAAACAACTGCAATGATAACGTTGTTGTCAAACCTAAGCTGATGATGATATTATTTACAAACCAGATTTGACGATAGCACTGTTTATAAACGATATGGTACCATAACACTATTTATAAATCAGATGTTATGACAACACTGTTGATAAATCACATGTTATGGTAGCATTGTCTGTAAATTAGATGTGACAATAACATGTTTATAAACCAGATCTGATGATAACATTGCTGATAAACAGGTTATGGTTCTTCAACATAAGACTCCTTTTCATACCTCCATTTTCGAGCTAGTAGTTAGTGCTCTTGATTCGCTATCAGAGATTTGCGGTTCGAATTCCTTCACCAAACATGTACGCTCTTTCAGCCGTGAATAAAAAGAGTAGCCAAAGAGTTGGCGGTAGGTGGCGTTGACCAGCTGCCTTCTTTCTGGTTTACTATTTCTATATTAGAGGCGGATAGGCCATCGAGTAGATTTGCAAGAAATTAAACTAGGAAACAAAACCCTTTAAACCACTACTCAAGCAGCTGGATAATGAAACGGATATGCATGATATCCTACAAGGAAATACATCTGTCATGTAGCCGAACGTAGCGCCTATGGACTTTTGTGCCATTGCAAAATTGAAATAGGCGCCGGGAAAACTGTCATCTTCATATACTAGATGGATTGTGGAAAGCTAGCAGGGAGGAATGATGTTCTTTGGGCATGGCATGCAATGTTGATCTACATTGCAGATCTATTGTTATGGTGAACGGGCATCAGTTAGAAAATGATCAAATATGGTAAAATTCACTGCAACAATGAAGTGAGGCTTCAAAATCATTCTTGTATAACGAACTTGATCCTGTGTGTCTCCCAGTGAGTGGGTCAGCAGTAAATTTGAAACTTGCAATGCTAAAATTTGGGGTTCGATTCCACGTAGTGGACAGAGCGCAGATGGCTCGTTTTGTATTCTTGCATAAAACCCACACACACCTCTCTGTATTATTGCTACTTAACCGATCGGACGATAAATATTAATGTTGATAAACCTAGAGTCACAATAAGCTACTGTGATAAAATCAAAGTGGATATATTTAAAGCTGCTTCGGAATCCAGTGTTATGAGATGTATTTCTGATTGTAAACTCCGTATAATGATATACATATATATTAGTGATAGGTAACTCGATGTGATGATATATACTATTTCTGGTGAATATGGAACAATGATACGTGTCACTGCTGGTGAACTCTGTGTAACTATGTATATATATTACTGCTGGTGAACCCCAAGTGATGATATATATTAGTGATATAGATCCCAGTGTCATGACATATATTACTAATAGTGAACCCAGTGTGGTGATATATATATATTACTGCTAGTGCATCCAGTGTGACGATATATAGTACTGTTAGAGAACCTAATGTCATGATATATATTACTAATAGTGAACCTAGTGTGGTGATATACATATATTACTGCTGGTGAATCCAGTGTGACGATATATAGTACTGTTAGAGAACCTAATGTCATGATATATATTAATGTTGTTGAACCTATTGGATGGTATACTACTCCTTATGAATTTGGTTTAACCATATATATTAATGCTTTTAAACCCGGTGTGAAGAGATATCCATTATTTATTGCCTTCTTTTAAACTTAATTGTGCAGAGGTAACCGGTTTTATGGCTCTGTTTATGTATAGGTTGAAATTCACTTAATATATCTTTAGTGGAGCCGTTTATTCTTACACAAACTCCACGCACATGAATTGGTAAAGCAATGTATTACTAGCTAAGACTATAGCTAGTCTAAATGTAAATAGCAATGTCTTATTAGCTGATACTACAGCTAGTCTAAATGTAAGTAGCAATGTCTTACTAGCTGAGACTATAGCTAGTCTATCTGTAAATAGCAATGTCTTATTAGCTGATACTACAGCTAGTCTAAATGTAAGTAGCAATGTCTTACTAGCTGAGGCTATAGCTAGTCTATCCGTAAATAGCAATGTCTTATTAGCTAAGACTATAGCTAGTCTATCCGTAAGTAGCAATGTCTTACTAGCTGAGACTATAGCTTGTCTAAATGTAACTAGCAATGTCTTACTAGCTGAGACTATAGCTAGTCTATCCGTAAATAGCAATGTCTTATTAGCTGAGACTATAGCTAGTCTATCCGTAAATAGCAATGTCTTACTAGCTGAGACTATAGCTTGTCTAAATGTAACTAGCAATGTCTGACTAGCTGAGACGATAGCTAGTCTATCCGTAAATAGCAATGTATTAATAGCTGAGACTATAGCTAGTCTAAATGTAACTAGCAATGTCTTACTAGCTGAGACGATAGCTAGTCTATCCGTAAATAGTAATGTCTTACTAGCTGAGACTATAGCTAGTCTATCCGTAAATAGTAATGTCTTACTAGCTGAGACAATAGTTAGTCTATCCATAAATAGTAATATCTTACTAGCTGAGACTATAGCTAGTCTAAATGATTTCATTTCGTTTTCGACATGCATACATATTGATACTTGATGCTTGTTTTAAATCAACCCATATTCGTATACGCCACCTTCACTATCAAACGCTGCCTTGGGCTGTAGATATGACTATACATGACTCTGAAATGTGACTGTCATCTTTGTTTTATTTGGTTATTTTTTTCATGCTAAGGTTTAATATTTATTTTCATTCTATTCATGTTGATATGTGACACTGATCTCTGTTCTACCAACGCTGAAGCGCGTACTTTATTTTGTTAAAGTCTGGCACTTAGCTTTCCTATGTCTATGTTAGAGTCTGGCACTTAGCTTTCCTCTGTCTATATTAAAGTCTGGCAATTAGCTTTCCTCTGTCCATGTTAAAGTCTGGCACTTAGCTTTTCTCTGTCTATGTTAAAGTCTGGCACTTAGCTTTCCTCTGTCTATGTTAAAGTCTAGCATTTAGTTTCGTTAATCGACATGGTCGTTACCCT